CCAAAACGGACACCGTATGCAAAAGTCACACTCAGTTCTTCGATCGCCAACAATCCAAGCATTCCAAATAAGCAAGTGCTTTTTCTTCCAAAAATGGCCAAAATCCCTCATACGTCACGAAGAAAAGGGTGGGTTCAATCCAAAAAGATCGCTACATTTTCGAAAAGTACATATGGGCCCAAAACGAACTCCGTATGCAAAAGTCACACTCAGTTCTTTGATCGCCGACAATCCAAGCATTCCATATAAGCAAGTGATTTTTCTTCCACAAATGGCTAAAATCCCTCATATGTCACGAGGAAAAGAGTGGGTTCAATCGAAAAGGATCGCTATATTTTTGAAAAGTACTTATGGGCCCAAAACGGACACCATATGCAAAAGTCACACTCAGTTCTACGGTCACCGAAAATACAAGCATTCCAAATAAGCAGGTGCTTTTTCTTCCACAAATGCCTGAAATCCCTCATACGTCATGAGGAAAAGGGTGGGTTCAATCCAAAAGGATCGCAACATTTTCGAAAAGTACTTATGGGCCCAAAACAGACACCATTTGCAAAAGTCACACTCAGTTCTTCGATCGCCGACAATCCAAGCGTTCCAAATAAGCAAGTGCTTGTTCATCCACAAATGGTCAAAATCCCCCATACATCATGAGTAAAAGGGTGGGTTCAATCCAAACAGATGCTACATTTCTGAAAAGTACTTATGGGCCCAGAACGAACATCGTATACAATAGTCACACTCAGTTCTTCGATCGTCGACAATCCAAGCATTCCAAGTAAGCAAGTGCTTGTTCTTCCAAAAATGACTGAAATCACTCATACGACGTGAGGAAAAGTGTGGGTTCAATCCAAAAGGATCGTTACTTTTCCAAAATGTACCTATGGGCCTAAAACAGACACCGTAAGCAAAAGTCACACTTAGTTCTTTGATCGCCGACAATTGAAGCATTCCAAATAAGCAAGTGCTTGTTCTTCCACAAATGGTTGAAATCAATCATACGATGCGAGGAAAAAGGTGGGTTCGATCCAAAAGGATCGCTACATTTCCGAACAGTACTTATGGGCCCAAAGCAGATACCGTATGCAAAAGTCACACTTAGTTCTTCGATCGTCGACAATCCAAGCGTTCCAAATAAGTAAGTGCTTATTCTTCGACAAATGGCCAAAATCTGTCACACATCATGGTGAAGCTATGAGTTCAATTCAAAAGGGTCGCTACATTTCTGAAAAGTACTTATGGGCCCAAAACGGACACCGTATGCAAAAGTCACACTTAGTTCTTCGATCGTCGACAATCCAAGCATTCCAAATAAGCAAGCACTTGTGTAGAATCCCAAATTTTTAACTTAAATTTGGATATATTTTTATTTGTCATTTAATAGGAATGCAATGTTCGGTTAAGTTCTTATGCAAGTTAATTGATTATCTCTATTGTTATCTTATTAGTTGAGGGGCCAAATTGAAAAAAAATAAATATCAAATTATTTTATACTTTATTAAATGGGCCAAATAGTTAACTATTGAAGGAGTTAGAATTACTCTACCAATATTGGGTTCATTTTGAAGCTCATAATAAATGGCGAATTATGGACTCAAGAAAAATTTAATTTGGTCAAGTTAAACCCGAGTTTTAGCCGTCTAAAGAATATTATGGTTATAAGAGTTTTAAAGGATTAGATTTTTCACTAGTTGACTGCCACCACTAGTTTAGCTAAATAAATTAGAATTTTAAATTTCGGTTAAACAAAGTCTTTATGTTAAGTATTAATAATCATACATTTTTAATTAAGAGGTAATCAATTAAAACGTAATTCCTGCTTACAAATTTAGTTAAATGCAAATCAAAGGAATTTGAATTATTTGATGTTAGACTTTAGTACATGAGTAACCCATGCATTTCATTACAACTTTCACGTGTCCATATAATTAGTAATCATTGTGTCCCCTAATTGGAACAAATTTTGGGAAGATTGGACTAAAATTCTAATTTAATTAATAAGCATACATTTTATAATTCTCGGCCATTAGGAGATTGACAATTTAAGATGTTTGTATTAGAGTAAATTATGTAAATAGGAGGCAGATTTTTTTTCCCCGTCCACGTGTAAAAGTCATGCAGTGTAATGCCTATCATTTCCTTGTTGTAATTATAATTGATATAGAAATTGGCAGAAAACCAATAATTAGTCTCCAGTCATACTATATCAATCGGGAATTATGAATCAATTTTTCAGAAGATTGCATGAAATACGAATTTAAATATGGCTGAAATTCCACTTCCCCCACGTGATTGCCTGACTTCAACAGTATAAATAGAACACTAAAACCACATTCTACTGCACGTCCATTACCTCTCCCTCTTTAAAATATTCCTCTATATTATTTAGATTTTTTAAGGCTTCGAAATTGCAATCAAATTTTTGCAATTTTATTCTCCACTTTCATCTTCAAAAGGTGAGATACTCAGTGCTATTAGTGGTTTTTTTTTCACATCTTTTCAAATACGTTATTATGAATTTAATTACTTCAATTCAGGCTCCTTCGGGAGAAATCATGATACATTTTAAGGCACAATTTAGCCTTCATGTTATTTTCAAGGCACAATTTAGCCTTCACGTTATTTTGCAGCTTGCTAGAATTATCATTTATCGTGGTGTGATAATTCTCATGTTATGTTGGTAAGATAATTTATTTGTAATTTCATGTTTGACTTGAATGTGGAGTAGCAAGCATCTCATTGAGTATAATTCGTTATACTCACCCCCTTATTTACAATTTTCAGGTAATAATTAGTATGCTGGACGGCGGTGGATGGATTTGCTATTGGACCAGTGGATCCTCATCAAGAAGTATTTTAATTTTCAAAAACACTAGAACTAATAATGGGTTATTCATTTTTGACCCAATTGTGAGTGCATTATAAATTTTCAATTAGTTTTAACTGTTCTAATAATTTTTGGATGAATGATATGTTTTCAAATGTTCTGCATATTTAAATTTATCTTTTGATTAAATGTTATTCAATCTTTTACAGAATTTCTCGTTATATTAAAATTGTTTATTTCAAGGTATATTCATGTTTCGTAACATTTCGGGTTATTAGAATTCAGGGCGTTATATAATGGTATCAGAGCTAAGTGTTCTAAAATCGATCCTGTAGACTTAAAATTTTCAAAAAAAAAATGTTGTTTTATGTGAATAGTTTCGAATGCATGAAATATTTTTCGCTGCCTAGATATTGTAAGGAATTTCATTTTAAGTAAATTTTACTTCTTCCAATTTCCACGTTGAGATTATATATATTTTTTAAAATAATAGTAATGATAAAATAATATTGTGAACAGTGACCTCCATCCAAATTGTGTCACTATTATTTTGGTTTTGTTTGGTGCAGTGCAGTGACCATCACTACTCTCGTGTATAAAAAAATAAATAAATAAATAAAATGTAAGTCACTGTTCACGGATGAACAGTGACTCGGGAATAGTGAAGTTAAATGGGATTTTGTGAAATTTTGTTTAACGTAATATAAAATGGGGTTATGTGCCTATAGTTGTCCAAACGTGTTTATTTGTTTATTCTTGGACATGATTATTTGTTTACTCATTTACTATAATTTATTTTGGATAAGGATTTATTTACTATAATGAAATGTCACACACCAAAATATCTGCCTTCTTTCTTCGATTGAAATTAAAATAAATGTAGAATAGGATTGTTTGGACTTTTTATGCGTAAATTTATGAAACGACCACATGATTGACTCTACCTTCGTATTGTTGTTATTAACAATTTTTTTTCTTTTCAAAAAAAAAAGGGGGGCTATACATATTTAATCTTTTAGGGGGAATTCATTATTCGAGTTTTCTTGATTTGCGTATTCGTAAAACTAAAAGGCTTTGTCAAAAAGACCTAAACTATCTAAGGCGAGCTTGGGATTTAAGCGGTCCATGTGACCCCCCTCCTCACCTGGAAGCCTCTTTAGTTGTGCGTTATTCAAATCGATAAGACGAAAACAATGTTTTAAACCCGCTTCAAATTTTATGAAAATCCTTTCATTTTAGAATTTTTTTTAAAAAAAAATCCATTTTACAAAATTTAAATACATAACAATAATAAGTTACAAGATCCGTGGAATCCAATACTCATCAATCTGCCACTGTCCAATATTTTTAAGGTATGCAAAGATGAAGAATATTTTTATATTTTCATGCATGCTAATTAGTTGTATAATCTCATGAGCTTTTCCTTATGCATCATTTTATTCAAAAGTAGAATGCCAATTAATCATATCATATGATTAATGATACGATTATCATATGACTAAAATCTTAATGCGTAACTTTTGGCCTTAGCATAATATACACGACAGACATGGCATAGAAAGATCTATAGAAAGAATGTAGCATGGTTGAATAGTTCTTAAGATAGATTACTTTTTACTTAAAGGAAATGGCACGACATCAACAAGATCAAGCTACTATGTTCAGAGATTTATTGAGGGCAGTGTAAGACTTGGGCAGGCAACAGGCTCAGGCGGCATCTAGTAATGCAACAGGAGGTGCTAACACCATGAGCTCGATCGTTGAGTAGTTTTGTCATTTTAAACCCCCGTCCTTTGATGGTAAAGGTGATCCTTTCGCAGCTGAGGAGTGGCTGAGAAGACTTGAAGGGATCTTCAAGCACATGAACTGTAGCGACGTTCAAAAGGTTTCATGTGCAAAGTTTATGTTGACTAACGATGCTGGACATTGGTGGGATTTCGAAACACGTACTAAAACTACAGAACAACTATGTAATCTCACTCGGGGTCAATTCAAGGAGTCGTTAATGGGTAAATATTTTCCCTAGCCATTGAGGGATCAAAAGGAGGTAGAATTTCTCCAACTCATGCAAGGAAATTTGCCACTTGGTGAGTATGAAAGAAATTTTGAATAGCTTTCTAGATATACTCCACACATGATAAACACTGAGCTGACGAAGACTAAAAGGTTTGAAATGGGGTTAGAGCCAGAGATTAAGGAAATCATGGCAGCCCAGCAACATACTACTTATGCGAAAGTTGTACGTCGAGCACAAGCAATTTCTAATGGTTTAGGATTGGAAAAGAAACCTCAACCCAACACTGAGACTTCTGTAAAGAGAAAGTGGCAAGGTTACGACAAAGACAGGAATCAAAATCAGAAAGTAAAGATTTGGACAAGCTCAAACAAAACTTTTCCTCAATGCTCCAAATGCAACAAGCGACACTTAGGAGAATGTCTTCAATGAAAGGGATTATGCTACATTTGTGGTAAAAGTGGCCATTTCCTCAGAGAATGTCCAGAGAAGAAGAAAGAAGGTGACCATCTTAAGAAGGGAAAGGCCAGAGTATTTGCTTTGATGGGAGAAAATGAGGATCAGAACACAAACGTAATAACAGGTACGTTACCAGTATTCGACATACCTGCTATTGTTCTTATGAATTCTGGATCGACTCATTCATTTATTTCTACAATTTTTATGGATAAGATTGGAAGTAAATGCGTAGAAACAAATAACATTCTAGAAGTTAGTACACCCTCAGGCGAAGTGGTTAATACCAATCAAATGGTTAAAGATGTTAAGTTAGAGATCGAAGGAAAAGTACTAAAGGCAGATTTGTACATCTTGGGAATGAAAGACTTTGATGTAATTTTGGGTATGGACTGGTTGGGTAGAAACTATGCAACTATCGTATGCCATAAGAATGAAGTCTTATTTCAAAAACCTAGAGAAGAAAAATTTCGATTCCTTGGAGCAAGAATTAGGACTCTACCCCGATTGATATCTACAATGAAAACAGAAAAGATGTTGAGGAAGAATATGTGTCGAGGATTTTTATTGAATATAAATAGTAAACCCCAGTCCGAAAGGAAAATAGAAGATGTACCTGTAGTAAATGAGTTCGTGGAAGTTTTTCCTGAAGATCTACCTGGTATACCGCCTGATAGGCAAGTAGATTTCACAATTGACTTAACCCCTCGGGCAACACCAATGTCTAAGGCTCCTTATAGAATGGCACAAAAAGAATTACAGGAGTTGAAGGCATAACTACAAGAATTATTGGATAAGGGTTTCATCCGACCTAGTGTATCCTCATGGGGAGCGTCGGTATTGTTTGTTAAAAAGAAAGAAGGGTTAATAAGGATGTGTATTGATTATAGAGATATTAATCATTTGACTATAAAGAACAAATATCCACTCCCAATTATAGATGATCTTTTTGATCAATTGAAGGGTACAACGGTGTTCTCAAAAATAGATTTGAGATCAGGTTATCACCAACTTAAGATAAAGGATTGTGACATCAAAATAGCTTTTAGAACGCGGTACGGGCACCATGAGTTCACAGTGATGCCATTTGGGTTAACCAATGCACCAGCTGTGTTTATGGACTGAATCATGTTTTTCATCAATACCTAGATCGATTCATTATAGTCTTCATCGACGATATACTGGTATACTCAAAGGATAAGCAACAACATGAAGAGTAATTGAGAGTGGTATTAAATACGCTTCGAAAACAGAAGTTGTACGCCAAATTCAAAAAATGTGAATTCTGGCTTATCGACTTTCTTGGTCATGTGGTTACTGCGCAAGGAATTGAGGTAGACCCAGCTAAAGTTGAAGCTGTAACAAATTGGTCTAGACTAAACAATGTAGGCGAAGTTCGTAGTTTCTTGGGTCTACCTGGCTATTAACGGAGATTTATTGAAGGATTTTCTAAGATAGCTGGACCACTGACACAATTAACTAGAAAGGGAGTAAAGTTTCAATGGTCGGATAAGTGTGAAAGCAGTTTTCAAGAATTGAAGCAAAGATTGGTTTCAGCACCAGTATTAACAATACCAGATGGTTCCGAAGGTTTTGTTATATACAGCGATGCTTCTAAACAAGGTTTGGGATGTGTGTTAATGCAACATGGAAAGGTCATTGCCTATGCCTCTAGATAGTTGAAACCATATGAGCAGAGTTACCCAACTCATGACTTAGAACTCGCAGCAGTAGTTCACGCACTAAAAATATGGCGTCACTAACTATATGGCAGTAAATGTGAGATATACACCGATCACAAAAGTCTCAAGTACTTCTTTACTCAAAAGGAGCTAAACATGAGACAAAGGAGATGGCTAGAGTTGGTTAAAGACTATGACTGCACCATTCTTTACCACCCAGGTAAAGCTAACGCAGTTGCTGATGCTCTGAGTAGAAAGACAGCTAGAAAGTTGACATTTCCAACTACTCAAAAAGAGTTAGCTAAGGAATTTGAAAATTTGAGACTAGAGGTGGTTACACCTTCGGTACAGAAGTCAGCCATTGTTGTAGCTCTAATGATTCAACCAATTCTTAGAGAACGGATTAGAGAAGCTCAAAAGGATGACCCATTTTTGTGTAAAATCATGGCTGGAATTGGGACAGATAAGCAAGAGGGATTTGCGATAACTGATGATAAGATACTTATGTATAAAGGCAGAATATGTGTTCCTAAAGACAAGGGATTAAGGAAAGAAATTCTTGAAGAAGGACACTCTACCACTTATACAGCACATCCAGGAACTACAAAAATGTATCGAGACCTTCGAAATACGTTTTGGTGGAGAAATATGAAAAGAGAAATAGAACTTTTTGTAAGTAAATATATCATCTGTCAGCAAGTAAAAGCTGAACATCAGAGACCTTCAGGGTTGCTTAGACCACTAGATATACCGAAGTGGAAATGGGAACACATTACCATGGATTTCGTGGTAGGGCTTCCGAGATCGGCTAAAGAGAACAACGCTATCTGGGTAATAGTGGATTGTCTTACAAAGTCAGCCTATTTTCTTCCAGTTAAGATGACATTTACCATGGAGCAATATGCACAGAGTTATGTCAATGAAATAGTCAGGTTATATGGGGTTCCTGTTTCTATTATTTCAGATAGAGACTCGAGATTCACGTCAAAATTTTGGAAAAGCCTTCAAAATGCTATGGGAACAAAACTGAAATTTAGTACTGCATATCACCCATAGACTGATGGACAATCGGAAAGGACAATTCAGATACATGAAGATATGTTAAGAGCTTGTGTACTAGATCTTGGTGGTAGCTGGGAATCACACTTGCCTTTAGTAGAATTTGCCTATAACAATAGCTTTCAAGCAACTATAGGCATGGCACCTTACGAGGCACTATACGGTAGGAAGTGTAGATCTCCTATCTACTGGGATGAGATTGGAGAAAGGAGGATTCTTGGACCTGAGATCATAGATCGAACCGTACAGGCCGTGGAAAAGATTCGAGATAGAATTAAGGTTGCTCAAGACAGACAGAAAAGCTATGCCGATAGAAGAAGGAAAGATCTCAAGTTCCATGTTCGTGACAAGGTATTTCTGAAAGTAGCTCCAATGAAGGGAGTACTTAGATTTGGAAAGAAAGGAAAATTGAGACCAAGATTCATTGGACCATTCGATGTGTTAGAAAGAATCGGAGATGTGGCATATAGACTGGCACTGCCACCAGAACTTTCAGCAGTTCATAATATTTTTCACGTATCAATGTTGCGAAAATACTTACAGGATCCTAATCATGTGATCAACCATCAAAATTTAGATGTACAACATGATTTGACCTATGAAGAAATGCCGTTGAGGATACTAGAAAGAAAGGTTCATGTACTGAGAAATAGGGATATTCCCTTAATCAAGGTCCTATGGCGTAACCATGGAGTGGAAGAAGCAACTAGGGAAAAGGAAGATGAGATGAAAATCAAGTATCCCAAACTTTTCAACTAATCTAAGGTAAATTTCGAGGACGAAATTATTTTAAGGAGGGTAGGTTGTTGAATCCCGAATTTTTAACTTAAATTCGCATATATTTTTATTTGCCATTTAATAGGAATGCAATGTTCGGTTAAGTTCTTATGCAAGTTAATTTATTATCTCTATCGTTATCTTATTAGTTGAGGGACCAAATTGAAAAAAAATAAATATCAAGTTATTTTATACATTATTAAATGGGCCAAATAGTTAACTATTGAAGGAGTTAGAATTACTCTACCAATATTGGGTTCATTTTGAAGCTCATAATAAATGGCGAATTATGGACTCAAGAAAAATTTAATTTGGTCAAGTTAAACCCGAGTTTTAGCCGTCTAAAGAATATTATGGTTATAAGAGTTTTAAAGGATTAGATTTTTCACTAGTTGACTGCCACCACTAGTTTAGCTAAATAAATTAGAATTTTAAGTTTCGGTTAAACAAAGTCTTTATGTTAAGTATTAATAATCATACATTTTTAATTAAGAGGTAATCAATTAAAACGTAATTCCTGCTTACAAATTTAGTTAAATGCAAATCAAAGTAATTTGAATTATTTGATGTTAGACTTTAGTACATGAGTAACCCATGCATTTCATTACAACTTTCACGTGTCCATATAACTAGTAATCATTGTGTCCCCTAATGAAGATTGGACTGAAATTCTAATTTAATTAATAAGCATACATTTTATAATTTTTGGCCATTAGGAGATTGACAATTTAAGATGTTTGTATTAGAGTAAATTATGCAAATAGGAGGCAGATTTGTTTTCCCCGTCCACGTGTAAAAGTCATGCAGTGTAATGCCTATAATTTCCTTGTTGTAATTATAATTGATATAGAAATTGGCAGAAAACCAATAATTAGTCTCTAGTCATACTATATCAATCGGGAATTATGAATCAATTTTTCAGAAGATTGCATGAAATACGAATTTATATATGGCTGAAATTCCACTTCCCCCATGTGATTACCCGACTTCAATAGTATAAATAGAACACTAAAACCACATTCTACTACACGTCCATTACCTCTCCCTCTTTAAAATATTCCTCTATATTATTTAGATTTTTTAAGGCTTTGAAATTGCAATCACATTTCTACAATTTTATTCTCCACTTTCATCTTCAAAAGGTGAAATACTCAGTGCTATTAGTGGTTTTTTTCACATCTTTTCAAATACATTATTATGAGTTTAATTAATTAATTCAGGCTCCTTCGGGAGAAATCATGATACATTTTAAGGCACAATTTAGCCTTCACGTTATTTTGCAGCGCTTGCTAGAATTATCATTTGTCATGGTGTGATAATTCTCATGTTATGTTGGTAAGATAATTTATTTGTAATTTCATGTTTGACTTGAATGTGAAGTAGCAAGCATCTCATTGAGTATAATTCGTTATACTCATCCCCTTATTTACAATTTTCAGGCAATAATTCGTATGCTGAACGGCGGTGGATGGATTTGCTATTGGACCAACGGATCCTCGTCATGAAGTATTTTAATTTTCAAAAACACTAGAACTAATAATGGGTTATTCATTTTCGACCCAATTGTGATTGCATTATAAATTTTCAATTAGTTTTAACTGTTCTAATGATTTTTGGATGAATGATATGTTTTCAAATGTTCCGCATATTTAAATTTATCTTTTGATTAAATGTTATTCAATCTTTTACAGAATTTCTCGTTATATTAAAACTGTTTATTTTAAGGTAAACTCATGTTTCGTAACGTTTCGGGTTATTAGAATTCGGGGCATTACAGCTTGTTCATCCACAAATGGCCAAAATACCTCATACAATGCGAGGAAAGGGGTGGGTTCAATCTAAAAGGATTGCTACATTTCTAAAAAGTACTTATGGGCCCAAAACGGACACCGTATGCAAAAGTCACACTTAGTTCTTCGACCGTCGACAATCCAAGGATTCCGAATAAGCAAGTGCTTGTTCTTCGACAAATAGCTAAAATCTATCACACGTCATGGTGAAGCAATGAGTTCAATTCAAAAGGGTCGCTACATTTTCCAAAAGTACTTATGGGTCCAAAATGGACACTGTATGGAAAAGTCACACTCACTTCTTCGATCGCCGACAATCCAAACACTCCAAATACGCAAGTGCTTGTTCTTCCACAAATGGCCAAAATTCCACATACAATGCGAGGAAAAGGGTGGGTTCAATCCAAAAGGATCGCTACATTTTTGAAAAGTACTTATGGGCCCAAAATGGACACCGTATGCAAAAAGT